CTGAGGGGCTCAGTTGGTTAAGAACTCACTCAAGAGTGCAAGCTCTGAGCAACAGGGTCACCGGTTTGATTCATGGCCCGAGCTGAGCTGCCAACAGGTGGCAGGATGGCTCAACAACAACAAAAAAAGTTACAACGTTCTTTAACTTGCAGTATCTTGTTTAAGCCTCCCATCATTCCTGTGAGGAGAGTTATTTATCTCATTTTGCAGAACAGGAAACAGACATAAGAAGCATAAGTTATTTCCCAAAGTTTCAGAGCTGGGACACAGTCAGACACGGCCCAGTGGTTTTCCAAGATTCCTGGTCAGAGGAGGACAGCCTTCATTTATTACTATTCTGTCTGTCGCCATTGCTGCGGCTTATGAGACAGAGGCGGTAAATCGTACTAATGGTAACATTTGCCCAGGCTGTGGGAATTCAGTGGTCCCTTAGGATCCACAGGGGATTGGTTCCAGGACCCCCGGGGATACCAAAACCTGTGGATGTTCGAATCTCTTACATAAAATGGTGCAGTATTTGTATATAACCTTCACACATCCTCACATGTTCTTCAAATTGTCTCTAGATAACTTATAATAGTCAATACAAAGTAAATGCTATGTAAATAACTGTTATCCTGTATTGTTTAGGGAATGATGACAAGAAAAAAACATCTGTACATGTTTTATAGTACAGACACAACCACGGTAGGCCTAACTACATAGGTCAGCAACAACGTAGCATTTTATTTTTGAATGTTTGATCCGCGGTTGGTTGAATCCATGGATGCAGAACCTGTGGATATGGAGGGCCAGCTGTAACCATTTCTGAACCAAACTGGTGACACTCTCTGATATCCACCAAGGAGTATGAAGGAGATAAGTACATTCTAGTTTATCAAAGATCCTAGTTAGTCAAGAGTTGCATGGATTATCTGGCTTCCAAACGTCGATGGGCTCTGGTGGTCCCCTAGGCTCATGGATCTGAGAGCTGGGAGCCAGCGGGGAGCATGGATGTGGGAGGAAGCAGAAAAAGAGCAAGTTTCTAACTTTCTTTTGCTTCTGACCCTACATCCTGTGGTGGGAGGGAGCACCTAATCCGTAGGTCAGATCGGGAAGTGTTTTATAATAGTCACCAGCTCTCTCTGCTCCTGGAAACCCTTCCTTCTCCCAGGTCACCCTTGCTGGGAGAGGGGACAATGGCATTCACTTGACTCACCTGCTTGAAATGAATGGTGATGACCATATGCGATCGGCTGCTGCTGACATTCATGTTGGTCGAAGCCGTGGTCCTGATTTTCGTCCCTTGTTCCATCAGCCTTTCAATTTGTGCATAGCTCTCACAGGGCACCGTCTTCAGACCCTCCACATAGAAGCCCAGCTGTTGATCTTCCCTTACTTTGAGCCCTCCAGGCTTCTTGGTTCTGGACAGCAAATCTCTTACCTGGGGAAGAAAAAGAATAAAAACTGTACACTTCAGGAAGGCAGAGATTTTTGTCTCCTCCACTATTAGAGCTCTGCCTAGAATATACCAGGCGCTCAACAAACATTTATCGGATGAATGAATGAGGGTTAAATTTCTGGCGGTACCAGACAACCTCATAATTCAGCTACATAAGAAACAGGGAAATGGCAATCAAGAAAATGGGGAAACCGGTTATATTATAATTAGTGATGTCAGAATCAAAAGTGGACCATTTCCTAATGTAAAGAGAAAAACACTGATGGGTTTACTTTATCAGTAATATTTATTTAGGGATGATTAAGTGCAAGGCTTTGGATAGTGCTTGCGATTCACAAAAATTATTAGAATATAGTCTCTGGCCATACAAAGCTTACAATTCTAGATCACTGTGTCAGTTCACCCATTTGACAAATACTAGAGAGCACCTGTTTGAAACCAAGTGCTGCACATAGAAAGGTGATCACAGGGAAATCATTATCTGTTTTGGAGCTACAAATATGTACGTAACATTTGACAGTATCACGTAATAAGTACAAAAGGGGAGGGCAGAATGAAAAAAATACTTGCTGAGTATCTAGTATTATATTTGCTAGGCACTGCGTTAGAAGTATGAAATTTAGTACACTTCCATGTACAGCATCTTATTTTAAATTCTCTACTTTATAAACGAGCAGACTGAGCTCTGAGTGATTTTCCAAAGTCACAAGCTAGTAAAGGAGGAAGGCGGGACTTGAAACCATGCTCTTTCTAACCACTCCAGGAGATGCAACCTACGGCCTGTGGGCCAAATTCAACCCACGCCTGTTTGTGTATGATCCTTGAGGTATGAATGTCATGCCACATTTTTAAATGAAGAAAAAGTAAAAGAAAAACATTTTGTGACATGAGAGTTGTGTGAAACTTCGTCCAGTGTCCATAAATTAAGCTTTACAGGTATACAGCCACACCCATTCATTTTCAGATTGGCTGTGGCTATTTTTGTGCCACAAGGGCAGAGGCGAGTAGCTGCAGCAAAGACTGAATGGCCCTCAAAGCCTCAAATATTTACCATCTGGCTCTTGGACGATACAAGTTGGCACCCCCCTGTACAACACCATGCCGACTGAAGTCAACTGTCTCAGGATGAATAATATAGCGGCTGATGCGTGAGCTGGATCCGGACAGTTTAGTGGTTTCTTTAAGGGCAGAGACAGCAGGGAGGGTGTTCCAGGCAGAGAAAGAATAGATGTAGGAAAAATGACAGGTTCTGAAAAGGAAGAGTTCTGTGTAGCTGAAGCCCAGAGTGCATGGAGATAAAAGACATGAAATGAAGCTGGGGAGGGAGTTAGGGCCGGGAAGTCAAAGCCAGGCTAGAGAGGTTTGAGGTGATCTGTAGGATAGGTGCGGGGACCAATGATGTTTACTTAGCTACAGAGTCTCTCAGATTTGTGTGTCAAACGTAGAATCACCGTTACCTGTTCGTTGTAAATTTCCAGCATACTGAATGTAACCTGCATGGAAAAGAGCATAAAGTCAATTAAGACTCTTTTGAATCTGTCATCTTTTGGGAAAAAAAAAAAGTAATATGGAAACAATATGAATGTCCAACAAAGAGAAAAGCCAACACTGATGTAGTAATGCTCCCTTTCATGTGCAATATGAGATTTGCAAATACTTTTAATGATATATGGAAGAAGTTCTTAATATAAATTGAAAACAGATGCAACACAGTTGTGCATTCGTGTGTGTGTGTGTGTGTGTGTGTGTGTGTGTGTGAATTGGTAACAGAAAAAGGTGGTTTTGTTTTTGGTTTTGTTTCGTTTTTTGTTTTTGTTTTTATGGCTCACCCTCCAATCTGAACATAGGTACTAGAGAAAAAGACTGTTCTACAATGTTTTTAGAATATTGCCAACCAAGCTCACACCTCTTAAACAAGAGATTGGAGGAATCTGAAGGCTCTTACCTCGAGAAAATGCACTGAGATACTGACAGTTTGCCACCACCACCTCCCACCCATGAAAAGCTGGCTTGTATGTTAGCCACCCTGTGCATCCTACCAGTCAGACCTCACACCCACAGACCTTCCAACCAGCTCCAGAGTATCTTACAT